CGATCTGCATGGCTCGGACACCTTAAAAATCCAAAGTAGTTTTATGTAGATAGGTCACAAATTCTATATGCATGGCCCCTCTGGATACCAGTCTCGTTTACCAAAGGGTTATCCTACCTAAATAAAGTTTATCTATAAACTTCAAAGYAAAGTTAAGTGCTTAATAATATTATCAAACTAGTTTTCATCTTACCTTTCTGTCATTGTTGCTGATAGTTTAGCCAATTCCATGCCAACTTCGCCATCTTTCGCTTCATCAATAAGCTTCTGCAATCCCAATGTAATAAGTTAGGAAATGTTATATTACGTATAATGAGTTTAAATATGTTATAATTCACCTTGAAAGAGCATCTCATAACTTCGTACGCCTCGTCCGCCATCTTGATATTCTACGAGATCAAGGCGACTTGTGGGTAAAACACAGGTGTCCCAGCATCGGTAAATGAACCATGCTGGAGCTCGAGAGCCGATTGGGCACGCTTATAAGAAAATGAGACTATGAAAAATGCAAAGAAAAGAAGAAGAAAAAAGGGGAGGAGGAAAGGAAAGAGAAAGAGAAAGAAGCAAGATCATCTTAGTATCTAGTAGTACGGTAATCCCCCTCCTCCACCGACAGCTCCCCTCTTTCATTACTTACCATAATTACTTCATTAAAAAACAGTAAAAATATCCTATGACATATTATGCAGTTTACACGCAGTTGTACTTTCGATGCCCGAGATTCATAAAAAGCCTTCTCTTTAATTTGCATCACCATTTCAAGCAAGTAGATAAAGCACTGCAAATAAGACGTGACGTGACGAAATATGTCGTTCTCAAAGTCTCTTACTTAAACAGTAAGAACAGATTAGCTGTATTTCCAGCCAATGGTGCTTCATTTTTGAACTGAGCGGCAGAGTTTTTTATTTGGCTTTCAAAGAAAACGTGTCAGTGGTTTAATAACATTGCTGGAAGCGAAAGATGGTTTCAGTAATTCTAATAATTTTCTCTGCTATCCTGACTATTGCAGGTAAGATTATTAATTACGTACACACCAGTTAGTTCTAATAATGATTAAGAAGAAAGTCACATAGGATCAAACAGTTCAACTGAGCGATGAAGGAACACTGACTACAAACAAAGCGGCTTTCTTTCAAATCAAATTAAGAACATTTTTATTCTACAGTGGTTTTGGAACAAGTAGGAAAGTGAAAACCATAAACCTGAGATCGGTGGTTTCGGCCGATTTAATTTCGCTGATCGAAAGCTAGGGCCGATAACCTTAATCTCAATCTATTACATGTATTACTAATATGAATTGGAGTTCCTATATATTTGGCGGGTATTATCTGCCAAATCTCTCTTAGTATTTATTTTTTCAGTTTTACTACAATAAGGGAAGGTAGTTGTCAATTGGGACGCAAGTCCTGTATCCTCCTCCTGTCACGTTTTATCATAATAACCTACTTCTTTTTTTTACCATTTTTTCCCCTTTTTATCTCTAAATAACTATGTTGAGTTCACTTAATTTATTAGATAACATATTGTACCTCAGGTTGTAAATAGTGATGAATGGACTAAACTAAACTAAACTAGCGTGTGCCCAACCTGGAAGAGAGAAAAGGACTACCTGCGAGCAGAGGTTATTTTCTTCAATTCTGTAGGGCTAAGCGGCGATAGGTTATAAAGGAGGACAGAAAAAGACCTCTGCAAGCAGGAAAGTCTTTCTCTCTCCTATATTCGAACTTCTTTTCTTTTCTCTTAATATCACAGAAGTAACACCAGATGTCTTGAGAGTCGTTTACGTGTCCAAAGCTCGAGGCGAAGCAATTGCTGTTTGTGGCAGCACTGAGTTTACACCCTGTAAAACACTTGAACTCGGTTTTAAGAGGCTGGCTTGGGGTGGAATGCTATACGTCGACGGCAATAACACTGACAAAGATCCCTACACATGCGAATCCCAACACAGATCTGTTAAAAAGGAGTATAAAATACAGAAAAGCTTCACTTTGTTGAGCTACACCAATTCAATTCCTCGTATTTCTTGCTCGAACGGAATTATTATCGAAGTTCCGAGTCGTAGAGTACCGATGAGAGTAAATGTGAGCAATGTTATGTTCGTGGATAGTAAAAGACTATGGGTGAAATCTGGAATAAGGGTAACTTTGACCAATGTATTATTTAACAACACGAAGCTCCAACTAAATAACGCATTAAGTGATATTCGAGATTGCAGTTTTCAAAGATCATATCCCGCAGTTTTTGTCTGCATTTCGAACACCCTGCCGACATATTACTTAAAAGTGAAAAACACGTTATTCAAAGAAAACTGTGGCTGCATCGAGATTTATCAACCAAAAGCTAAAGGGTGCAATAGAAAAATAGTCTTAAATTTAAAAGATGTTTTATTTCAGGGAAATACCATACTCATGAAAAAAAACAGAGAAAGTGGTTTGGTATCTGTAAGAGGATCCCGTAACTGCCGGTGTAAAAATATGTCTTTCTCGTCCAAGTGGGAAAATGTTACAGTCATTAATAACCAAGGCGAAGTGAAATTTTGTAAAAAAGACCGTGAGGAAAAACCGAAAGGTTGTTGTTGGAAACGGAAAGAAAAACCAAGTGATTTCACACGAAACATCTTCGCTGTCAGCACTTGCAGGGTTTATCTTAGATTTTCTAAAGTGAAAAGTCTAAAAAACGTCAACATGAGATTCTTAATGTCACAAAGTGGCTATAACAAAATAAAAGTCGAGGATTCAAGTTACCATGGTCACCACATCGATAAACCAGGAGGGGTGATTCACGTTAAAGGTCACGGAGCATTGGTTAATCTCACCATCTCAGACTCAGCTTTCTTTAATAATTCAGGTACATTGGGTGGGGTGCTCCAGGTTGACGGAGGTTTCACCAAGATCGTGGGATTGAAAATGGATAATGTGAGCTTGGTGCACTCGCATGGGAGTGACTCTGGATGTGTACTATCTGTTGCGAACGTCAATTACAATCATAAATCACGTTTTACACATGTGGCTGCAATCGTTGCAAACTTCAAAGGACTCTTGGTTAAAAATACACAATTCTCATACAATACGGCAAACAAAGAATGTCACTATGCAGCATTTTGTTTCGTCGCAAGTCACCTTTTAAAAGTCTTAATCACCAAATCTTTGTTTTACAAAAATGATGTTCCAGCATTTATCCTAAAACATGATCCTATTGAACCATCACTTTCCGGCGCTGAAGTGAACGTCGAAATCGACAGAACAGATTTTATCGAGAATTACAGTCGACGAACAAATGCCATATTGACTTTAATGGTCGATCACTCAGTTAAAAAATCAAGTCTCAAACTCTCCAAAACTACCTTTATGAAAAATAACGGAACCGCAGTCATAGCTATAAATGTTATCGATCTGAGCGCCAGAAATTTTATTTGTAGTCATAACTTATGGATTTGCATGTTATTACGATCCAAACTCCGCAAGGGGATAAACGTTTCTTCGGTAAACTCAACGCTAATGATCGAGGATTCGGTTTTCACTCACAATATGAATTCACCAATCAAATTTAATCATACCATGCCAAGATTTCTAKACATTCAAATCGTAAATACCAGTTTTCATAAGAATCATTATCGAGCTGCTCTGAATATAGAAATTGGGTTTAAAAAGCGGAACAACACTTTGATTGAGGGAAAGCTGAAAATTAAACGTACCAATTTTACGTCCAATTCTGTTGACTTTGCTCGGTCTCACGTTTTGCGGTTTATCTTACGGGTGCCAACTAAAGCGAAATTTCAAGTCTCGATTAAAGAAGCACTGTTTATAAATAATGTTCAACATTTCAAGGGAAATCTTCCGGGTATGTCCAGTGTTCTTTTCTTTTTTATGCCAGAAGACTTCGAACACCAAAAACAAAAAAAATGCAGAAAATTTCCTTGCTTCAATTACACGAGGAAAATGTCTTTTAATAAAGTTGTCTTCGAGAACAATACGGGATCCTCAACGATTTTGTACATCAGTAATGGTTTAAACTCTTTCCGCCGATGTCTTTTCAAGAATAACTTTTCTCAGTATCCGAGATTAGGAGCCCATGTCTTCATTGAAGAAGGCACTGCACGTGYTCTATTCGACAAGACAGAATTCGAACAAACAAAGAGTTCAAATTGTAAACCTTGCAGTGACAATCCTTGCAATCATTCTAAAGTGCTTCCGTTCATTCGCGCAGGAGCAAGAGGTAATTTGATAATTAAAGAATCTAACTTCACATTGCACGCTTCTGAAAGAAAATCCGATATGTTCGTAATCCAAAATGGTCGTTATGTTAATTTTGACTCACACACTAAGCTACTTTGCCCATTAGGAAGCTACATAAACCTTGAAAACTCCTCTCACGTGATCCCACCAGCGTTCACACATGATCGTTGTCGCTTGAATATCACGCGCATTCGCTTCGTGTGTCAAATGTGTCCTACTAGTACTTACAGTCTTCAAAGAGGATCTTTTCGTGGACTCAGTAACAAGACGCATGTCAGTTGTATTGAATGCCCCTTTGGCGGGAATTGCACATGGAACATTAAGAGTAAGAATGACTTCTGGGGCTATCTTTCTTCATCAGATCCCCCTCGACTTCGGTTTGCGAGTTGCCCTGAACACTATTGTCATGTGCCAAAACGAAGTAGAAACACTTCAGTCTATAATAGATGCGCAGGTAATAGAACTGGATTGATGTGTGGGGTATGTAAAGAAGGTTATACTGAAAGCCTGTTCAATCATGATTGTCGCCCTGTTAACAATTGTAGAGACAGATGGTTCTGGGTAGTAGCTGGTCTGTATTCGGTGATTTTTGGAGTGTATATACTTGTGAGACCACCAATAGTTATGCAACTAGTTAAGAAAATAATGTGGTTCAAACACCTGAAGCCATCGATGCAATACATAACGCACGAACAGGAAGGAACCACACATGGTCATGGCGAACACGGCTATTCTAAAATCATTTTCTATTTCTACCAAGTTGCTGATCTTCTCATGTTGGAATCTTCCTTCCACATTCTCCAAAAGGAAGCGTTTATTGTTACGCTAGTCTCATTTTATAACTTCCAGGTTAACATAGCAAATTCCTCGTTTGGGTGCCCGTTTCCAGGGTTAACAGCCGTCACCAAGGAGCTTTTCCGTTCTTTACAAGTCTTTGCTGTCATGGTGTTTCTTGTCGTATTATATTTTCTCCACTGGCTTCTGTGGTCGTTCAGAAGAAGACCCAGGCCACACTTTGCTCCTTACCTTGCAGCCATCATTGAGGTTCTACTCTTAGGCTATGAACGACTTGCACACACGTCATTTAACCTACTGACCTGTACTCCCCTTAATATCAATGGCCAGGAGGTGTGGAAGATGTTCATCGATGGTAACATTACATGCTGGGTCCATTGGTGGCAGTACGCCATTATCGCATACAACATCGTGTTTGTGATTCCATTTGTGTTCGTTTTGATGGTGGGAACTCCAAAATTACAGAGTGGCCATATTGGTCCCTTCTACTTTTTGGCTGCCTGTTTTTTGCCCTTGCCTTTTTTGGTATACTGGATGCTGAAGCGCATATTGAAATGTGACAGATGCATATTCGATGCCATAGGAGAAGCCCGAGATCAGGAATACACAAAGCACTTATTAGAAGTCATACAGGGTCCTTTCAGACCTCCAAAGGACCAATCAAAAGGCTCTTTGAATTGGGAAAGTATTCTGATTGGTCGTCGTTTGGTGCTGTTGTGTCTTCATTCCCTAGTGACAATTCCAATGCTTCGAATTCTGTCCATGACGTTCATTTGTTTATTGATTCTTCTTCACGATGTAGTGATCATGCCATTTAAGGATGGAAAAACAAATGCCATGGCTGCCTTCCTCTTATGCATTCATGTCGTCCTAGGAGCCATCAACATGGCCAAAGCCACACTCATCACCGCAGGAGTGTCTCCAGAAGGTCCTCCCAAGACACAGATACATGCTCTTCAACTAGTGGAAATAGCACTGTTGGGTATCCTACCTTGTTCTTTTCTGCTACTCGTTGCTGCGTGTGTGATGTCCCAAGCAATATGCTTGATGTTTAAAGCTGGTTTGTATCTTTTCTCAAAAATTTGTTTCCAAGAAAAGGGTGGCCGTTGGTATCCAGAACAGGACAGGAAATGTCTTGGGGAATCCTATCAACCCTTGCTGGATCCTACAATGAACTAATCCAAAAAGATAGTATAGGACAATCAATTAACCGATTCTCTATCTGTCGAAAAAACTCCCGGGGGGGCTCCCTTATAAAAGGGAGCGGGGGTCCTCGTCGGAAATTCCGAAAATGACCCCTAAAAGGGACCTGTATTTTGGGATGATGGGCGTGGCAGTGATGGCATTTCACCCATAATCAATAACACGTTTTGTTTGGTTTCTCGATTTTACTTGCATCAAAAGCCGTCTGCCCTAACGAATTTATGACGACATCGTCATATACAAATCGCTTGCCTTTTTGTAGATCTTATGCCCTAAAATGGACCACAAAATTCAGTTGGTGCGCAAACCCTTATTTCAAACCCTAGAAGGGACAACGAGGGCCCCCGCCCCCTCCCATAAGGGAGTCCCCCCCCCCCTTTCCGGGAAAAAACTATGCATATTAATCTTACTCAAGACAAGGAGAAGTGAAGAAGAATAACAGGCTATTGCGCATGAGCCTATCAAGATCCTTGCAGAACAATGAGTGATTTTAAGTGCAGTTCAGAAATGTATCGTATATTAATACTAATTCCCTCATGTTTGTGCAGATTGTGTAGAAAAGTGTAGAAAGATGTAGAAAAATGTTTTCAAGGGGAGCAACTCATGGTAATCCAGAACTTGAACCACTTAGTGTTTGTTTTATGCATGCAATATTAGTATAGCACTTGTTTATTGTTATAAGGGGGTCAAGTTCTGGACTATGAAGA